CTGTCAGTGAGATAGAGAAACAGGCTGCCTAAGCTTCTGTTCAGTAAGCTATAAAGGACAAGGAGACAGAACCAAAGAACTATATGAAGGTATAAGTGGAAAATTAAAAACTCAGACCTATTAAGAGTAGATTAATCTATTATTATAAATTAATAGTAAGGTGCACTCATGGACAAGCTACAAGAAGTCTGTGTGGATTAGGAGCTATTTCCCTGCTATAGACAACTCTACACATCCGAGGGATACACTAGGTTGTTTCCTCTTCTACTATTTGCATTTTTGCACTTAAACAGCTAGAAACAGCACGGTTTAGGACAGCACATGCATTGGCAGTGTTGTCTTTTTCTTGGGAACAAGTGGAACTGCATTATCAGGTCACTGCAAATTCTGCCTTTAAAAAAAATAATTCAGAGTGTTTTTCTTTAGAGTTCGCAAAATACACTAAAGATGTTTGTGCTGCCTTCTGCATATACCAGAGTTCTCAAGGTTTAATGTTCTTTTCTGATGATCTGTGGCTGCAAAGCACAAATAACAGAATTGTAGAATCATTGATGTTGGAAAAGATCTTCAAGATCAAGTCCAACTGTCAGCCCTACACCCCCATGACCACTAAACCATCTCCCCAAGCACCACATGTACCTGTTGTTTGAACACCTCTGGGGACAGTGCTACCACCACCTCCCTGGACAGCCTGTTCCAATGCCTCACCACTCTTTCAGTGAATAATTTTTTCCTAATATCTAATCTGAACCTCCCCTGGAGCAATGTGGCAAAGACCAGCACCCATCATCACTGAGCATCTTCCATACTTTTCTGGTAATTGTGTCGCTCTTTAGCTCATGGTACTTAATATGTTATGATCTAAACCAAAGTGTTGAGAATCAATAATTCTGTGAAAAGAGTGTATTGAGAGGCCTTCTGAGTTGTGTGCTTGCACTACAACATATATACTGATGATTTTTAACATTAGGTTGAAACAGTTGATTCATTAGGTTTTCTTTGGTTATGTTAAAGATACTTTATCAGTTTTCATCCGGATTTTTTTCACTTGTTTCTGAAGAGAAAAAAGTGAACTATTTGACTACAGAAAGTCTTAGAATTACTATCACTAACACAGAAGTTTTGAAACTTCTTACTTAACTTGAAAGGGAGTGCAGCATTAAATCTAATATATGTAGTATGGTTGCTTCATACATGACAAAAATGTTTGATCTTGTGGATCAGATTCTTTGTCCAATACAGAAAACTGCATTAATCAAGTCTAAAGCACCATTAGTGAATATAGGGTTACAGACTGTGAGGATAGTGGTATGTAAATTACCTTACATGAATTGTGCAGGTGAGTAAAATGAGCATTTAAAACATCCATTAGTGTGCTAAAAAGAGGATGTAAAAGTAGCTATATCATTTTTGACCTTCATAAATATTTACATTATTAGGAATTATTAATGTTTCTGTTTTCTCTTCTTTTTAACGATGTGCATGTGTTTATATATTTACACTCAAGCTCTGCGTCAGTGAAGTACCTTATTAATGAGGATAAATGTTACTTAACTGCCCTTATGAAATAAATATCATTCTTAGTCTTTCCAGAAGTACATCTGCCTGAACATCACCCACCCTACAGCCACTGAAATACTCCTAATTGATTAGAATCAGTGTAGCTCCACTCTGCATTATTTCTGCTGCTATTTGTTTTTCCAGTGCATTTGCTGTATTTGTTCTTGTGGTGCTAGTATTATCTGAAGTTACTACGGCAACCTGTCACCATCTGCTATTATAAAGTGTGCTAGGGTTTAGTTGCTAGGGTTTGAAATCTGTCATCTTACTTGTATGACCCTACTTTTTTTTCAGGTGTTTCTTTTCCTGTATATGTTGCATCCACAGCTAATGTGTCTTTTGACAACAGTGGAAAAGCTTCTACCTGCTTTCCCCTTGACCTTAGAAAGCCCTGTTTGCTTTGCAGCATACTTCTGACTCCTTTTGATGATACTTCACCAAAACAGCATTTCTTTGACCTTAGCCACTATTTTGCAGTGTTTATACTGAAGTCAGCTGGCATTATAATTAATATACCTTTGATATGCTTTTATTTTTAAGTAGGCAGTGAAATTGAATGTTTCCAGAGACATTTTCTCTTGTCTCATTTTTATTTCACTACCTACTAACTCATGCTCCTGCTCTGAATGGAAATGTAATATTCATATTAGTTTCCTTATTTCTTTACCCATTTTGAAAGGCTGTCAGCCAATCAGTTAATTCAAAAGTGATAATTCAGTGAAATTTCTGTTCTGCATTCTTTTACATTTAAATGGATTAAATTTTTAATAAAATGAAAAATATTTTATCAGATCTCTTCATAATAGTGCATTGTATCCAGAGTTATTTCTGTTAATATTTCTAAATGTTCTCTCATTGGTCAAGTGTTTATTTTTGATATTTTTCTTATAGTTGGCATGGTTCAAGTCTACCTTTTGTGATGTATTTTACAGGGTAAATTCCAATAAATTTAAGTACAGCTGAACTGACTTGTTAGGATTTATCTGAAGAGCTACCCTTTCTCTGCCACTACTCTATATACCATTCAATCCAGTCTACAGTCAAAGTGTAATAGTGTTCTTGTACAGAACTTAATGTATTTTCAAGCAATTCATGCTCTTTGCACATTTTTAGCAGGAGGTACTTAAACAGCATATGAAAATTGAAGTAATTATATAGAGGCACTTTCAGATTTGATCCCAGCTCTCCATAGTTCTATATTTCATTTAAGTTCTACTAGAGAATAGTGATTCTGAGAGCTCATGAGTACTTTAAAGATCCAAGGCTGCATCTGAGAAGCAAATCTTTATTACTGACATTTGGGGATTACGAGGGAGGGGCAAGCTTTTAACCTATAAAGAAGCTAGCAGTTAATCTCTAGTAGTTGAGATCACTGGCAAGAAAATTATTGAAGATCAAACATTATTTGTATATTTCCTGCTTTACAGTTACTTGGAAATGGTGGAGGAAGTTTTTGTAGCAAACCAGCTTTACTGTCACCTTTAGGTATCATTCAGTGGCACTGATGTGAATTTGACAGGTTTGGTGCAAGGCACTGGCCAGCAATGTGTGATCTTTGCTTAGGGTTCTTTTCAGTAATTAAGACACAGAATCTCTTAATTTAAAAATCACCATACACAGTTACTAAGAGCGGGCATGCATGCTGTACCCTGGTTGCAGATAGAGCTAGACACATTTTAGAAGTTGGTTTCAACAAAAGAAATAACCCTCCTAAAGTCTTTAAGCCTTTAAGCATCATAATATATCTATTCAATCATTGTGAAGAAATGTTGCTGATTTCAAGAAGTGATTATTTAACACGAGTACAGAAAGCCATTCCATGGCAAATGCTTAACTACTCAAAGACAAGGTATTTTGCATATTCAATTCTCTAACTTCTGTCAGTAATTTTATTAAAAATCAAGACATCAGAAAAAAACTCCCACACAATTTCATTGCCGAATCCTTGGCAATTTATTAGTACTTTCAGCTACACATTTAACATGACAGAAAAGATTTGTCTGATCCAGAGCTGTAAAAGTGAACTACTACAGCAGGGAAAGCAGCATTTCTTTTTAGAAGAGCATCAGTACCCGAGAACACGATTCCTTACCTGAAGCTTTTGGTTTACTTGCAGAAAATGTGTCTTCTTAGTGTTAAAAAGTAGGCAATCCTCTCACTAGCGCTAATGTTACTCCAAAAGAAGATATAATACATCCTTTATATCGTAATTTCCACTGTTTATATGCAAGAAGTGTGCTGAGTCTGCTCACGTAGGAATAAATAAATAAATAAATAAAAGGCAGTACAAACTGAACAGCAGCGAACATATGAAAGTAAAAGACCTCTAGTGGCCATAACCTGAAGTTAAATGCGGCTGCCCTTAAGTGACAGACAAAATGGTTGGGAACGACAAACTGCAGCTGACACTCTTGATGTGAGCTTTTGTTGCCTTTCTGATGCAAAAAAAACAACCAAACAAAAAAAAACCAAAAAAACCCAACAACTATGAAGTGAATCAGATCTAAACAGAGAATCTGATCAGTACCAGGTGGAAATTAAATTCTGATCAGAGGGGCTGGGGAGACCTTTGTGTCAATTCTAAACTGGTGAGATGGAAAAAATCCAAGTAAACCAATACAATTCTTTTGCATGCTCATCTACTTCATACTCCCTTCTTGTAATAAAAGCAAAGCACTTAAAGCAGGTTCACTTTTAAAACAGTAATTAAATTTTCAGCTTATTAAAAACATCAATAATGAGGATTCCTGGGTGGCTCAAAGGAAAACTGAATCAGTAAGCTTGGTAAGATTGCTTGAGTCTTTGCATCTTTCAGTAAATTACAGTAAAAATCTAGGATTATAGATCACTTTATTGCTTTCAACAATTGTGCTTCAGGATTTGAGAAACAAAATCATTTTGAGGAAGTTTGAAAGAAATGTTGAGAGGTCAAAGTCATAGTATTCTCTACAAGTTTGACAGAGTTCTGTAACAACTTCTAAAAAGCCTGCAGAATGTAAAAAAGATCCTTTCTTGCAACATTTCTTCTGTGAATTGCCTGTTTCTAGAATGTTGGAAAATGTTAGTGCAAATGTATTTTCTTCCTATAAATTCCAAATGGAAGAACCCTAGGCATGATTACATGTGCTTTAGGAGTCCTAAGGTAATGTTGAGTTGTACTTCAAGTTTTCTTGTCAGAGTGTATGTTTCCAGGCAGAGTTTCATAAATGATGGAACTTTCTCACTAGAGCCTACTTTTGTCAGGGTAGCTTCTGAATTATTTTCTTCAAGTTCTTAGAATGTTTTTTTTTCATCTGGGCTTGCAAAAGCTTGAATGTTGTTATATTTTTACACACATAAGAGGATTTATTAGACATTTAGAGTAGTTCAGCTTCAGAAAGCATACAATTCAGTACCTTAAGTGATCTGTGTGTCTTGATTTCTGTCTGGTTTTCTTTCAGAGTCACTTCGTGGCGTGCATGACAGCCATCCTAAACCAGATGAAGAACCAGCATTATTCAGTTTACATTGACACTTTTCAGACAAGCTCAGAACTAGTGGTGAGTATAAAATAATCATGGAGGTGAAAATATTCAAAGTATTTTATTTACTGTGAAAAATCTTGAGTATTGTTTTGGAGTACCTTGTCTGAGTCTTCCGAGGTCTGTTCCTGTGTGTTTTCTGTCTCTGTTTTGCATCCCTCTTCTAATGGTGATGTTGGAAAATACTGTAATAAAAAATCTGGACACATATGTCATTGTTGTTGGTCCTAGGACTGAGGAGGTCTTGTAACAATCAAGAATAAGTAACAGGATCTTGTGTCATGCAGTTCTGAGGAGAAAAAGAAAACAAACCCACTACAAAACCAACCCTCAAGTAATTAAATCCTCCCCCTCCACTTTGCATCTGGTGATCCATTTCTACTTTTCATTTTCACTATTGATCTTAGTCCTGGTCTAAGTACTGTTCCATGCTAAATACAATAAATACTTTATTCTTGCAACATACCTTTTATTCCAGTTGTTTCTGGCATAGTTTAACAGTAATTGGAGTATATTCTAGCTTGTGCCAGTGGTCACCATATTCTACAAGGTTTTAGTAGTCCTAAGTCTGTCCTTTTCTACTCTGAGCATAACTCTCACTTAAGAGCTCTGACTAACTGAAGTCTGGGTATTGGCAAAGGTTTTGATTACACCATTTACAGTGTGTCCATGGAGGTAATACTTTCACTTAGTCAGTCTTGTCCTTTTTCTTTTTGTTCTTAAAATCAGAGTGGTGCCATAAATGCAATGCTAACAGATCAGATCTTGGGTAGCTTTTGCAGTTTTTCATGTGCTTCAGCTTACTTGAACATGTAACAGTATTTCAACTTCTTTTCAGCTTCCAGGGAATTAGGGTACTTGGTTGTAGAAGTCTTAGTAATCATTAACTTACTTGAATAGTTTTGCAGAGGAGAAGGAAAAAAAAAATAAAAATCAGTATATTTAATGGGTTTTGCAGTGGTTTGTTGTCTTCTCTTTTTCCATGCCATAAATATGTCAGTGAAGATAACACAGATTTGTTTTAAAAGAATGCTGTTGAGAGCTATTGTTCACTTGGTTCTCTGTAAGTGACATGATAAGGAGGAACACAAACTTCACGGAGATGTGATGCTGAGGTTTTGACAATAGGCAATGACATTTCAGCTTGCTAGTTTTGCATATTCCTATGTGGCTTGCTCAGAAGTTGCAGGGTAAAACTACATGTATCTGCTATACAAGAAATAAACCTGAAAATATTATGGTAATTATATTAAAGTTCACTACATGCTGATCTCTAAATACTTCTAGGAAGAGAAACGGTGTTTGTTTTGTTTTGAAAACTTTCTCTCAGTGCCTTCAGTTTTGAATTTCTAACACTAAATTTTAACTAAATGGACTAAAAAAAAAAATCCTATATTTTTAGAGTCTATTAATTATCCATAGTGAGAATGTTTTCCTAATTAATAAAAAATGTAACAGCTTTATTCTCAGTACAAAAACTTTTATCTACTATTTATTTATGGTTTGTCTTTTCTTAAGAGCTCAATGTAATGGCTTTTAGCCTTCATTTGGAATCTGGCTCTGGTGTTTCACAAGGCCTCGTTTCCAGTCCTGGGGTTATTGACATGAACAGGAATTTTTCCATTAACTGTGAGCAAAGTGGATCCTTCCATCTGAGTTTTTTAATCACAGCAGGGACACTTAAACTTGGTGTTACACAGTAACAGGTTTCTTGTATGTTTTTATTCTAGGACTTCTTGATGGAAACATTCATAATGTTCAAAGATCTCATTGGAAAGAATGTTTACCCTTCAGACTGGATGGCAATGAGCATGGTGCAGAACAGGTAAAATGGGGCTTGGAGTGTCAATGCTCATGTTCCTTTTGCTTGTGAAAAGTGAACCAGTTTTGTATCTTACTTTGTTTTATCTAAGGTGATGACATTATTCCAGTTTGGTGAATGCCAAGAAGGTGATAATCTGAAGTAATTTCCTGACAATACATGAAATTAAGACATCATTAAACATTCATGCATTCTCTTCATATTCATTGGAAAAAAAAATGGACAAAATTCATTTATATTTTTAATTGGGTGTTACCTTGAGGGCTGGTTTTACTCTTGCGTCTTATTCTTAAAAAACCTCTTGAGTTTATAGGCTCAATTGGATAATGAAGTGAATATACTTTTTTTTTTTTTGAGCAAGACTTCTGCTGGCAAGGTGGGTTTGGATCACCTGTGCTATCATAATTTTAGTTTTGTAGAAATAGCAGTAACACTGAGTTTTCTAGAAGCTGCAGAGACCAGTCTAAGAATTATTTCTCATAGATTGCAATTAGTTTAGAATTCACTGATGCTGTTTATCTGAAATGGCACAATTATGTAATTTTCTTGTTCTAGTTTTATAATAGTGAAAAGGAGACAATGGAAGGTACTTATTAAAGTTGATAATCTCCTAGAAGTGTTAGTCTTGAGGAAAAAGTATGCTAAAAGAATTTACAGCATTATGCTATCAAATTTTAATATTGGATACATTTTCATCTAGGATTTGAGTGGAATTATATAAAATGAAAAGCTTTTCTTTTTTGTGTTCCATGAATCAAAGGAAGGCATATGCTTCTAGTGGCAGTGACAATGGCAGTGAGAGCTCAGGTGCCTAAACAGCAATTTCTGTTGTTCATGTAAACTTATGCTCATGCAGAGGTTGCTGAGTCCTTCCCTGATGGGGGCAGATACATAAATGCTGCTGAATGTGCTCATTCCAGGGAAGATTGTACATGATAGAAGTTTCATTCCACTTGTTTCTATGTCTGTGCCAGTCTTTGGCCTATAAAGGTAAAACCTAATTCAGTGCATATCCTTATGCTGCTGCAGCTGGAATTGGCAGTTATTTTTAATGTAGCAAGGATTACTCTTAAGAAGTAGCAAGTTAGTACTAGAGAAACCTAATGGCCTTCTATTTTATGTAAGCATATCAAACCTTTCATGTGTAAAACTTCTTCTTTTAGCTGGGAAATGCTGTTAACATCTGCATTATTCACCAGCATAGGATCTTTTTTAACTATGTGGAGGCAGAAAAAGTGTCAATCCTTATTCATAGAATACGCCTTTGGGGCTTTGGGATTCACCTGGTGGTATCTATATGGCCTCACTGATAATAGAAATTAATTTGTGGTACTGTACATTTGGTGGTAATGCCTCCTAATTATACTGAGCTTGGTGGGACAATTTGCTACAAGCAGACTTAGTTGCTCTAACCCTTATCCTGCATTGAACAAGGCAAATGAAAATACGTAAAGAAGAAATTAGGCATTTAAAAAAAAAAAAAAAAAGTTGAGCAGCTCTTTAACGGTGCTTCTGTAAGGACCCTGCTTACCTAAATTGACCTGGTACTGTTAATACTCTTTGATTATGTTACTGTTAACAAGATTACAAGGAAAGGAGTTATTTGTCTTATAACATAAAATTAAGACATGAAAACATATGCAACTGGCAGGGTGGATTATTGTTGTCAGTCTTTATATAAATTTTATTTTTGTTTTTTTATTTGTTTGGGTTTCTTTTTTTCGGGGGTGGGGAGTTGTGGGTCTTCTGTGGAAAAAACCAAACCAAACCAAAACACAACAAACTTCAAGCTAATTTAGATTTCTAGATTTGTCTTATTAACATGTTTTATAACAACCCAGAGAAGTAGGAAAGAAAAAGTTCAAGGGAATCAGGCTGGACACTTGTAAAAACAGAGGGAGAAGAAAATACACGTATTAAAAGTCCCCACAAAAAATGTTAGCAGAGCTCAGGTTTTGCATTCTTAATTCACCTGTTCTGAGTAGGAGGCTACATGCAGGCCTTTTGACAACCTGAAGGAGGTGTTTCACCTGAAGTGTCTCCCCTTTCTGAATTTGCAAAAATATGAGTTAGAGGCTGTAGGGCATGTCTGTTGTGGAGCCGGGGCGATGCTGAGCAGAGCTGGCACTTCTCCCCTAGGGGCTTTCAGCAAAGCCTGACACTCTGCCCCCGTCAGCTCTTCTGTTTCGTACCTACCAGGGAGCGTGGGCACTGGAGGAATTTTGCTGTAGGATATACTGCAGTACAGGGACATAAAATCAAAGTACATTTGCTTAGAGGCAGAAAAAAGGGAAGAGCTTCACTAGAACTGCAAGTTTGGTTCTGTTTGTGGATAAAAGATGTTCCTAATAAGGGCACTCTAATTACTCTTATACATTAATGAAGACCGTGCATGCATAATACCAGAGATAATTCTACTAGATGTTAGATGTTGGTAAGGGAAAAAAGAATGAGAAAATTACTACTTATAAGGTTCTGGGTAAAGATATTATTGTTGTTGTTGTTATTATTATTAGATGTGAGAGTCACTTAGGAAGGGAGATGCCTCTGTCTAAAGAAAGAGAACATGGGCACACTCATATACAGGAGGAACTGTTGTAGAAGAGTTGAAAGAATGGGAGTAGAAGCTTAGTTGACTAGTAAGGCTTTGCCTGTAGTGGGATGGAATTATTTAATTCAAATATCTTAAAATCATTTATAGGCAACTGAGAATCAAAAAGTGGAATGAACTGTTCCCCCCTTGCCCCACATTTTTTTTGCCTTCTTCCATTTACAGCAAGATGGGAAGAAACAATTTTGTGGCATACTAGATGGGGCAGAACACACTGGGAAGTAGTAAAATCCTCATTGAGATCATGAGCATATAATATCTGAGTTATTTTTGTGATCCTCTGTGGTAGATCTAATTAACTTTTGTTCTAATGAAGGTTGCTTACTGCACATATTGTAGCAGTTGCTACTGCTTGTATGTGTACTTGGTCCCACTTATGGTACTTAGACTATTGGCTATTAGCTTATTAAAAGCATTAACTCCTAGGTGCGTGGCATTTGTGGGGGAAGCCTTTGCTGTTCTAATACCTTACAGTCTGCTTATCTCTCAGCTGTTCATAATTTTAATATAGAGATACATCATTCCTCCCAGGAAATTCCTCTACCTTTTTGTCAACATGAAGTGCACAGAGAGTCAGAGTCACTGAATAAAAGAAATGGTTGGGGAGCTAGCAACACAAGAGAAGTGTTCACATCCCTTCCTCTCCTTCCTCTGGGCTTTGAAACTGTAATTGCTCAGTTGGGCTTTGAAAGCACTTGATCTTATATTAGCTACCTGGAATCAGTTTTGGTTGGTGTCCAGTCTAAGGTGGTTTAGTAAATGCTTTAATGGTTTTTGTGTCTGAGTTATTTTTTTTAACCTTTTGGACAGCAGATTTAGGTATTTAAAAATAAAAGGAAATAGTTTTTCACCGCTATGTTGCAAGGTTCCATCCTGTTTGCTGAAAAACTCCTGTGAGAACACTGTAGGGTATTTTCTAACAACAGTAGTCAGGCTTTTTCTGAAATATGTTTTCATTACCTGTATATCTGAGTGTTTTCAGACATCTGTTGGAGTCAAGTGTTCCCCAACCATTTTTAAGTCTGACTTGAAAGGTTTAGCACTGCAGGTGTTTGGCAAAACAGCTGTAAATGTTGCCAATTTTTTTTCATTACCTATACTAAAAATAGCTGTTTATTTGCTGATGAACAGGTTTGTAACACCCTTGAGACCTGATTCTCATGTATCTCATGTGTTATAGTAGCATTATTAATTCACCAAAATCCCATTATGTCTTCAAATCGGTGCCACCTGCATCCCCAAATGCCTCACAATTTCTCAGACTATAGATCTTCTTAGTATTGTTAAGTCCTGACCAGCTAGCAAAATGAGACCCCTCACTAGCAAGGGACTGTAGCTATTTCATTTGAAGAGAGGGACTGATTCCAGACTTGGGTTATCACACAATCACCTGTGGATGGCTCTGTTAAACCTGACTTCTGAAAAACACATTTTCTACGCTTCAGGGTTCTGATCAACTCTACTTTGGATAGAAAAAGTCATTTCAGCATAGGGAGCTTCTTATTGTCCTGTGAAACTCAACAAAACTTTGCTCTGTGTGTTCTGAGATGTCATTTTTGAAGTTGTAGTCGCAGTTATTAAATAACAAGAACACATAAAAAATAGAGGGGCTACTGGAATGCATTTTCTTTTCAATTTTCCATAGAGAAAACCTCAACAGATGGTAGTCAGAATTTAAGCATATTAAGGAAGGGATTGGTAATAGTTCAGGAGCAAAGGGAAACTGAATACAGCTGGCAGAAAGCAGGGAAATGCCTTCTTCCAGCAAGAAGCTTAAGTCTTTATCGGAGAGATGCTATAAATTATATTGCTTCTTCCAACTCACTAGATTTCATAGAATAATAGAATATCATGAATTGGAAGGGGGAAACTCCCAAAATTAATGGAAATATTAGGACTTCTCAGTCTTCTACCTGTCAGTTTGTTGAAATGAAAGCTCTTCATATCTCATGGTTTAGAAATATTTGGCGCTGTGATGTCTGCATTGCTGTGAGTGGGCATTGTGACCCTTCACAGGCACTAATGGATCTGACTGCATACAAGGTATGCAATTCAGTTGATAAGAGTATGTGCTATCCGTTACATCAGCTGGTGCTGTAAGAAGGCATTCAATTTATAGCAATTGTGATGAGATTTTAAAATCAAGAATAAAGATTGAATTACAGAAATGGGAAAAAAAGCACCTCCTTAACTTGATGTCTTTGATTGATAGCAAGGGTTTCTCTTCTCATAGGAAATATAGAGGAAAACTCAGATTTATTCTGTGCTTTAACAGTTTGCTGAAAAATCTTCTGGCTCATTATTTGTCCTGCAATGAACAGAAAAGGGCCTTTATTTATTCACGAGAGGAAAAAAAAAAAGTACAATTATTTTAGGTTAATTTTACTCTTGT